GTGGCGTGGATTCACCTGGATCGCCAGATGATCGTGTCCATCCACAACCACGTGATCACTCGCCTGTCCCACTTCACGGTCACTCACGACTCGCACAAGACGTGGACGCTGCATGTGACCTCCGTCACCGTGCAGGATCGAGGTCACTACATGTGCCAGGTCAACACCGTCCCTATGATGAGTCAGACGGGATATCTGCAGGTCGTAGGTGAGTTCTCGAGGCCAGCCTTTGTGCAGATGTAAGGGATTTTAAGTGCCCTTGGGGATGCGCGGAGACAATTCAGAGCAGTGGTACTCAGGCTGGGCTCCACGGCGCCTTGGGCTGCCGTGAGTAGCACCAGGGGTTACGCATGATTCCACTGTGAAATAAAGCTTGTAAGTCATTCATCTGGTAATTATAGGTTTGTCGTTTGAGGATGAAACATGTGTTTATTTGGTTTCGAACGCCAGTAATTCGTGGAACAGTCAAAGATGCACTTTGCTAGAAATGTCCTTTTGACGCCGAAAAAAACTGTCCGTTAGGCGCCCTCACTGGGAAGAGTAAGGGGATCGCCGCTCTGGAGATGAAGTGTTTTTTTCTATATATATATATCTTGAATTACACTTGTTTCAGGATTAAGATTTATGCAAGAGTGATGAATAAACATGATAATCAGAACACAGATCAAACAAAAGCCTCCCTCTCCCCCGAAACAAATATGTACCGGTTCCTTCCTCGCCCCCCCCCCCCCCCTCCGTTCAATTCAAATATCCCGCAGATGTTGTTGATCCCTTGAATGAGACTCAGCCAACAAGCATATTCTACCCTGAAGGACTCAGATTCAAAGGACGCTAACATATGAAAGGAGGTGCGCGGCAATCCCGTTGTCTCCGTCATTATCGGGAGTCAAACCCAGAGCATAAATGACTTGCGAAGTGTCTCTGCGGAATGCGGAACGATTCCTCACTTCCCTCCAGCGACGTCACCGAGCAGGAACTGAAGGGGAGACAGGAGACGCCGCAGCAGGGACCTCGCCTCGCGCCCTTGCCTCCGGTGCGCCGCCTTCCGTGGAATAGCCACGCGGCATCAGTTTTATTTTATTTTATGGAGAATGATAAGGTAGATTGTAATGATAGTATTGATTATCAAATGTATTAAGTCAAGGGTGATTCAAATCAAATACTGATCATTTTTATAATACAGATATAACAGAAATTATGATCGTAACAATTATTGCCTTTTCCAAAATATGATAATTTTCAGTAATATCGATAATGATATATGCAACACTTGTTGTCACGATGGTAATGACAGCAAAATACATATTGCAATATAGTATTGATAAAATTACAATATTGATATGGATGATTATGATCTTTACGACTGATATTCTGTTAATATTACAATTGGTGGTTTTGTTGGGTTTCCTGTCATTATCACTGTTATGATTGCCGCCGCCACCATGACTACGCTAGCTATTGTTATCACAGCCATTAGCATCTTGATTACTAGGCTCATAGTCAGTGTTTTCACCTTTAACGAAATTAAAAGGAAAATGGCAGTACTGGCAAAAGTCGAAGTAAGAACGACACAAAAAAGTGCTGGAGATGGAGGCAGACAGCGAGAACAATAGCAAGAAGCATATCCTCGGTTGGGTTTTATATTTCCTTCTGTTTCTCATATTTTACGACGAAAAGCAAAATCCTCAAGTAACTCATTCATTGGAAAAAAATGCCTTGTTTCCATGTGAAAATATTTTTTTCGGATTTCCTCCAATTATTGCGTTAAAATTTTTCTTCATCAAATATGAAAGCGAAAATAAAATCCCACATCAATTTTGATCGCATTACAGCCTTTAAAGAAAAAAAAAACAGATAATGAGTTAAAAAAAAAAACAATTGTTTTTGTTACTTGATGTTGAACAAAGACACGATTTTCTCCCTCTTATCCTAACGCGTCCATTCGTAAATTTGCATGTTTTTTCGTTATACTTTCACAGGGGGCTGTTTTTCATCATTATTAAAACATTACTTTTATCATAATCATGATATTATTTTTATCATCATCATCATTATTATCATTATCCTTATCATTATTATTATCATTATTATTACTATTATCATTATCATTATCATTATTATCGTTATTATCAATTTATTATTATTATTATCATTATTATTATTATTATTATTATTATTATTATTATTATCATTATTATTATTATTATTATTATTATTATTATCATTATTATTATTATTATTATTATTATTATTATTATTATCATTATTATTATTATTATATTTACTATTATAATCATCATTATCATTATTATTATTACTATTATCATTATTATTATTATTATTATTATCATTATTATTATTGTTGTTGTTGATGTTGTTGTTGTTGTTATTATTACCATTGCTGCTGTAGTTGTTTGTTTTTTGTTATAATAATAATAATCATTATTATTATTACCATTACATTATTATTGGCATTGTTGCTGGTGTTGTTATCATTACTATCATTGTTATTATTATGATCATCATTATTACCATTATTATCATGACTAGCGGGACCTTCAATTCACTCCTTCCCTCCCCCTTTAAGCCCATTATCTACCCTCTATCTCTTCCTTCCTTCTCACCCCCCCCCCTCCTTCGCTCCTTTATCCCTTTCCTTCCTTCTCACCCCTTCTCCCCCTTCCCTTTTCCTCATCAAGGCTCCGTTTCCTTTTCCCTATCTCTATTTTCTCTTCAAGTTCCCTTCCCTTCCCTTTCTCCCTTTCTCCCTCCCCCCCCTTTCTTCCCTCTTTTTTCCCTTCCCGGGCGGATGAAACGTAAGCAGAATTTAAGTATGCAAATGGGTGATAATTATAATGTTGATGTTAATCAAATCATTACAATGTTACCGTTAATGTTCTTTCGGTTTTAATAATTCTAACTGTCATTATTTTTGTTATCGTTATTAGTAGTATCATTATTATTTTGATGATAGTTATCATCATCATCATCATCATCATCATTATTGCTATTATTATTGTTATCATTATTACTATAATTTTTCTTATCGTTATTACCACTATTATTATCAGTATCAGTTTCAGTATCATTATTATTAATGCTATTATTATTTTTATTATTATCATCATTACTACAAATATTGTTTTTGTTTTCTTGTTTTTATTCTTGTTATTGTTAACATTATTATTATCATTATTTTCTCTTTTTTACTAATACTACTTTGATTACTATTACTACTGTCATTTTTATCATTATTATTATTATTATCATTATTATTATCATCATCATCATCATCATCACCGTCATTATAATCGTCATAATCATTTACCATAAGTATATACAAATAAGGAATCTAGCTAAGTGCAGATTTTGCGATATGCTATCAAATTAGTGTCTTAAGAATTACCATTTTATAAACAATGATCGTATCTAAGGGCAAAGAGAGTAAAAAGTCGACCAAAATTTAACAATTATATATCCTCCAAATTCTCTCCAAAATTATCAGATTCTGAGCCTTAAACACCTTTTGTAAACAGGATCCTCTCAAAAAATAAAGGCGATCAGCTGTTTCCATTCATCTCGGCGATCAACGACTTTGTGAATGAATCTCGCTGCTATCTGACAGGCAGCCACTGATACACACGCCCATTTACGCTGTGGCATCCATTTTTCTCCGGCTCGTTTGATCTGCCGTGAGATATTGCACTTCGTAATGTTTTGTTTCTTTGTTTTTCCCCTTCCTCCCGCTCTCGCCGGGGCACAACGAGCCATTTTCTTGGTGCGCAGCTCCCTCCTCCCTCGTCGGCGGTCCCTGCAGCTCTCAGTGTAATGGCGAGCGTTATCCGGGCGGCACTTTTAGCGACGCTATTGGAGGGGCTGACGACGTTGCCGCCCAGTGTCCATGCTTTGCTGTCTTCACTGCGTCTATTCCTGGTGTCCCCACTGGCTTTGTCCTTCTGTGTCCATTCGCTGTGTCCTCACTGCGCCCATCCGCTGTGTCCATACTGCGTCTAGGCCTTGCGGCCCTTCAGTGCCAATCCCTTACTGTCCCCGTTGAGTCCATTCCTAGGATGTTGTATTCGTACCAGCCAAATTACATACCACTTTACAGACTCATTGATAATACACTTGGAATCGGGTGTTCATACTGAGAAAGGTTTAGTAGTTGAGTTTCTCTTCAAGATTCTCTTCAGTCTTTATGATTTCTCTCTTATTTATATATCCTTCATCCTTATATTTTCTCCTTGTCTCTCCTTCGTCTACTGAATAGGCCTTCCTTTGCCGCTTCCACGGCTGCTGAGATCTTGTTCCTTGGAGCCCGATGCCTTTACCACACAGTAACCGTCGCCAGAAAAGGCTCTGGACGACCTACTCGATATTGAAGTCACAGGCAGCACGCGTGTGTGCTTGCTGCCGTTGTAATTATATCTAACAGACGTGTAGAATGATTTCCCGCCATTAGGCCCGTAATCGGGTGTATCGCTTTCTTGCGATTTGACTGGTGTTTCCGTTTACTGTAGCATAGTTTGCCATCGAGTCTTATCATAGGATAATCTTCGATGTTTTTCGGGTATACACCTTTCACGTGTACTATTTTCATCTCTCATGTCCTATCTATGTACTCCATTACATTTATTTAAATCAGTATAACGAGTGTTTTTAAAAAATCACATGAAAGAGAACAAGCGGGCGGGCAGTTAGCCTCCTGGTCGGGCCCGCACCTCAAAGAGCGTGTTCGGAACTTTGGAAGGCGTTTTGCCGTGTTCGGTGTTTTGACATGTGGCTTCGGACTTCTATTTTTAAGGTTAGGCAGGGCGCAGTTTCGGTCACGGGTATAATGCGGCTTTAGATTTTGTAAAAGCCTATTCTTTGTTTTAATTATGTAACACAACTTAAAACCTACAATCTCCTGTGATTCAACTATTTAAATTAAAGTTGGATAATGGAATGAATGGGCCAAATGCATGATTAACAATTGCATTTGCATGGGATTTGACCTCGCCGAGTTACTACCCTGAATTCTTTCTCTCTGCCTGTCGCCTCGCTCGGTCCCTCCGCCGGCTCCTTCATTCTTTGCCAAGCCGCCGACTCTTCCACCTCCTGCGCCATAGTTGTACATTTTAGATGTGAATACAATGTTTTTTTCTTTATAACGCCTGATTTGCCTCCCAAAGGAAATCCGCCGATTCTGCCCTGTTATCCTGTATT